TTTCTGACATGGGAGGAAAGGAGGTGAGAATGGTTGTGGATACAGATTAGCTCTTAGATTAAAATGTAGGAAGTAGAAAGAGATCACACCTTTTGGCCTTACTTTTGTTGATTAAATAGGAAGCAAGGTCATCTGCTAAGAGTAAGAGAGGTGAGCATGGAAAAGGGGGCTTTGAGAGTGATAAAGTCTCAGAAAAATTACAAGGAGAATGAAACAAGTACCTTATTAAAGTCAAGAAAATAAATGATTCAATGAGCTGAAGGTTAAACTCATGACATCGGTGAAATGCACCGCTGTGTGATATTCCACATCAGCCTTCAGGCCACTGTATTAATAGCTGACAAAGTATAGCAGTGATCCAAGTGTGGACTTTTCTATGAAGGTAAAGGAACAAGAAGGTATGAAAAAGTAACTTGGATCCATGAATCCGGATCAGATAGAAAAGGAAAGAAGCAAACGGATTAGGAGAAAATATCCTTAGAGTAGCCAGGAGACTCTGGCTGTCATAAGTAATTATCAGTGGAGACAGATTTAAATTCAGAGTTCAAAGGCCATGTTTACACGACTTATGAAGCCTGGGCAATTAGAACTGGGAGTGGTGTGTATGGTGGAGATGGACGGTTAAAAAAAAAAAAAATCAACAAGACCACCCTGAAATGGAACTTTAGACAAGGAGAGAAAACAAGCAAAAATTATAAGTTTATATGATGAGATAGGGAATGGAAGAAAAGAGAAATAGATATTTCTCTTTATTATTTCATTGTGGGCTCCTTCCACATTAACAAAGAAAGCTTAAAAAGACTTTTAAACTATCCACACACGCACAAAAGTAACTGGAGAATTCATAAAAGTAACTGGAGAATTCATTATATCCAAGATAAAGATGAATTCTGGCAAGATTATAAAGGATTTAAAAAGTATGTGGAAGGAAAAAAAGTAATTTCAAACAGCTTTGCAAATAAAATGGAAGGTGCACAGCTTCTTATTCAAAATAGAGAATTAACACTTTTAGAATTGTTCAGGGTAGGGCCGGCCCGGTGGCGCACTGGAGAGTGCGCCGCTTGGGAGCGCGGCGGCGCTCCTGCCGAGGGTTCGGATCCCATGTGGTGACCGGTACCCACTCACTGGCTGAGCGTGGCGTGGGTGCAGCACTGAGGGTTGCGATCCTGTTGCCGTCCCCGGTACGGGCGCGACACCGAGGGTTGCGATCCCGTACCGGTCAGTAAAAAAAAAAGACAAAAAGACAAAAAAAAGAATTGTTCAGGGTAGAGCCTTGACCTTCGGACTTAAGAGTGTGTATGCTGGAACTGATAAGTCTTAAGACTGTATGGAGGGCTCAAAACATAAGAGGTAGATAAAAGTTGCTTTTATAAAAATGACCTGTAGGTCGAAAATCAGCTACAGATTAAAAAAAAAAGACAGTCGTTAGCAGGACAGTTATTAAAGAACTAACTGGAAAAGACAACTTTCTAAGACATTTATTCATCCTTTTATTCAATTAACACATATTTATTATTGCTAATATATGCTAGGTTCTAGGGATAGAATGGTGAACAGGACAGCATTGTATACTCTCAAGTTTAAAATCTATGGAGAAGGTAAACAAGGTACATAAAACAATGAGGTAGTGTTGCTACAAGGGAAGTGGGTGAAGGGTATTAATGGCAGCATGTACAGGCACATTTAGCCCAGTCTAGGGGAGGCTTCTGGGATGCCCAGGCCAAGATCTGAAGGCTGAATAGGAGTTAACCAGGAGAAAGAAGGGGAGGGATATGGGGGAAAGGTACAGAAAGAGAAAATAAACTTTGTGGAAATCTGGAGGCATGATAGTGTGGCCAGGTTAAGAAACTAAAAGAAATTTAGAAAGTCTAAAGTGAGGTGAGGAAATGGTGAGAGCCACAGCTGAAGAGCTAAGAGCCAGGGTTCCAACATAAGGGACTCTATAAGCCATATTAAAGAGTTTGAACTTCATCCTGTGGCATTCTGAACAATGTTTACATTAAGATGTTGCCTGAGGCTGACAAGCTTCAATGTATAACCTCTGATTTCAGATTTCATTTCAAATAAACCTTTCAGTTCATACAAAACAGGGAAGAAAAGTTGGGGGGTGGGTAGGTGTTGCTTTCAACACCTCTACAGAGATGCTTTTTATTAAATAAATATTTACTAGGCTTTTACTATGTGCCAGCAACTGATCTACATGCTGGGAAATACAGGAGAACAAGAAAATATCTTGGATTTCATGGAGTCTACAAATAACAAACACAAACAATAGTGATACATGCTAAGTAGAAAATAAAACAAGGAAATGAGAAAGAGGTGGCTGGAATGAAAGGCTAGTTTGGCTAGGGGTAAGGAGTCAGTGACATTTTTACTAATAACTAAATGATGATAAAGTAGCCACATAAATAATTGAACAGAGAACACTGCATGCAAAGGATTCTCTGGGTCTTAGTCACTCATTTGTAAAGAGCAGGCTTGACAATTAAATTTAATATTGCACGTGAATGCATGTGTGAAAATTAAAGTATATGACTGCAAGGCGTAAAAGATTAGAAAGCCACTCTCTGGGTTCAACTTAATTATATCCATGTTAAAAATCTTAGAGGCTGCAATGCAATGCCAATTTTCTACTGAAATTTTAATTTTTATTCTGAGAAAAATGCTACTTAAATATTGTTATTTTCCCTGAATTAGTGGTAGGGCTAAAAACAACTTTGGGTTGTCTAAGGGCAATACGAAGTCTTAGAAAGGTTTTAAGCAGAAGAGTTACACATCCAGATTTTTGTATACTGTTGTGTTTGAATATTATGCAGCCAATAAAAACAATAATTATGAAAACTATATAAGGGGGATAAATTTAACAAATGAAAAAGTTATTGCATTAGGATGGTAGAATTATGCATGGCTTTTCCTTGATTTATATTTGTAAAAATGTTATGAAAGTTTTTCGAGACATAGACAACATTGTACTCTACAGACAGAACCATTAGAATGAAGCATTACAGGGGCCGGCCCGTGGCTCACTCGGGAGAGTGCGGTGCTGAGAACCCCAAGGCCACGGGTTCGGATCCCATATAGGGATGGCCCGTTAGCTCACTGGGGGAGCGTGGTGCTGACAACACCAAGTCAAGGGTTAACATCTCCTTACCGGCCATCTTTTTGAAAAAAAAAAAAAAAAAAAAGGAATGAAGCACTACAAAAATTGTATCAAAGAACAAAGATTCATTTTACTTTAATTCCCAAAAAATAACTGTTTCTGTTATCTGCCATTTAAAAGAAAGAACAATTAAAAAAATATTTTAAATTATTGGAATGATGGGGGGCAGGGAAGATCAATAATTAGGTAGTTTGAGCTTCTACTAATATTAACAGTCGGCCAACAATTATTTACTAAATGCTTAAAGTAGAAACACAGCTATGAACAAGGCAGGACCTCAAGAAAATAAATTCATAAACAAATACACGTACATAAATAATACCAATGTTATGATAGACGCTAGGAAGAAAAGAACAAAGTAACAACGAATGACATGGTAAAAAAAACAAAAAAGCAAGAGGCTCACTAGACGAAGCTTCCAGAGAGCAGGGACAGTCAGTATCTTATGCGGGGGTACTACAAACAGTTCACGGAAAGNTGACAACACCAAGTCAAGGTTTAAGATCTCCTTACCGGCCATCTTTTTGAAAAAAAAAAAAAAAAAAAGGAATGAAGCACTACAAAAATTGTATCAAAGAACAAAGATTCATTTTACTTTAATTCCCAAAAAATAACTGTTTCTGTTATCTGCCATTTAAAAGAAAGAACAATTAAAAAAATATTTTAAATTATTGGAATGATGGGGGGCAGGGAAGATCAATAATTAGGTAGTTTGAGCTTCTACTAATATTAACAGTCGGCCAACAATTATTTACTAAATGCTTAAAGTAGAAACACAGCTATGAACAAGGCAGGACCTCAAGAAAATAAATTCATAAACAAATACACGTACATAAATAATACCAATGTTATGATAGACGCTAGGAAGAAAAGAACAAAGTAACAACGAATGACATGGTAAAAAAACCAAAAAAGTAAGAGGCTCACTAGACGAAGCTTCCAGAGAGCAGGGACAGTCAGTATCTTATGCGGGGGTACTACAAACAGTTCACGGAAAGTTCCATATTATCTTTCAATTCTATTTTTCCACTGGTAAAAAAACCAAAAAAGCAAGAGGCTCACTAGACGAAGCTTCCAGAGAGCAGGGACAGTCAGTATCTTATGCGGGGGTACTACAAACAGTTCACGGAAAGATCCATATTATCTTTCAATTCTATTTTTCCACGAATTTTTTTGAAGTACTCTCCTCGTATATGTTCCTACCCTCAGAGCTTTACCTAACGGTCGATGAACGTTTGTGGACTGTACAAATGAATGAAGGTGGCCAATCGAGAAGAAACAAAGATCAGAAAAAGATCCGAAAAGGACAGCAAGCGGAGGATACAGGAAGAGGTGTCAGCGCACAAACGAAACCGTGTACTTTGAAGTGACGGCGACAAATATCTCCACACCCGGATTCAGGATCTGACAACTAAAAGCAAAGCCCTCACGTGTCCCCAGTATCCAGTCCCGATTGGTGCGCCACACACCCCGCGCCCGGAACCACTCTCTCGCCCCAGTGCGTGGGTCAGCGGCGCCGTCCGGAGGCTGAGGGGAGCTTCGAGGACAGCTCCCTTCTCGTGCACCGGCTCTCAGCGCTGAGGCCTGCTGACCCCTTCCGAAAGTCTGAGGATGGATGCCGGCCGGGGGCGCTGCCGGCCGCAGGCCAACCCCCCGACCACAAGGGCGGAGGGAACCGGACGCCAAGTCCCACACCCTCCCCGCGCTATGAACACCGGTGTGGCAGGCGCAGACCGTGCGAGAGAACTAGACCCTGAGCCAGCCCGCATAGCTGAGGCCCGGAAAGGGCGACTCGGGAAAAGGAGGCTGAAGGGTGCGGGGGTGGGAAGAGGTGACTCACCTGGGAGGTAATCATGATGCTGGAGTCTATCAGGAAACTCATGGCGAAGTATGGGGAGGGCTCCTTCCTCCACTCCCCAAGGCCACAGCCCGCTCGGGCCACCAGTCCCCTCACGCAGGCGGCCTTCGCCCAGGTGCCGCGGCCCGGAGCGCTGCGGACCAGTCCGACGCCATCAAGCTGCGCCCCAGCCAGCCAATCAGGGGCTACATTCAGCGCTTCCCGCCTCCGGCTAGGAGTGGGCGGGGCGGACGCCGGGCGCCTGGGCGCTGTGGCCCGGGGGCGGGGCTTGGCAGGGGCGGGGGGCGGGATATGCTACTGTGATTCGAAAGTCCAAAAGCAGATGTAGTGCAACGTAGTGTTTCCATTTGTGAGGCTGAAGGAGGTAGGCCTGAGAGCTAACGTCCTATTTTAGGTGGTAATTCCATTTTCTAATGATCGTAGCTGATAAGATGAAGTTAATAATAGTAATAATAATGATTATTATAATGAGTTAGGCCTTAATTCAGGCATTGTGTTCTAAATGTTACAGATTTTACTTGGCTCCACAAACGCAACAGCACAACTACACGTGAGGGAAGAGCGGAAAGGCAGGTGATATTTTAGCAAATATAATTAACCAAATGAATTTCTGATGTGACAACAGAAAAAGTACACCATCTATAGCAAGGGAGTGATGCATAATCTCATTGTACCCAGTACCAATCAGACAACAGATGGAGTACTGCACTTTTTGTGCCACATTTCAAAGAGACACATAGACAAACTGGAGCTTGGTCAAAGGTGAGCCACCACATAAGAAATGGTAGAAGGAACTGAAGAAAGAAGACTTAGGAACATTGCAGCTGTCTTTATGCAAAAGAATGGGTAGAAAGGTTGTGGCCCCAAGAGATATTTGTAGGGCAAAGGACTGGAAGTTAAATGGAGATAGATTTTAATTCAAAACAAGGAACAATTCTTTAAGAGGCTGAAGACGGGTTATTTTAGGAAATAGCTCTGTCCCTCTCCACCCCCTCCACCATGTTGCAGGGGCTCAAATATAGACTGAACTGCTACTTCCCATCTCAGAACCTTTCTAGAGTGAGTTAGGGCCTTCACACTAGGGAAATGTGAGATCTGATTTGCCTGGAGAAAGGGGACCAAAGTCTGGGATATTCATTCTTATTCTTGATTATCCTAATACACACCCACACCCATGCACATATACTTTTTCATTTTCCCAAACGTGGACCACAATGAGTGCTGTGGACTGAATGTCCCCCTCAAATTCATATGTTGAAGCCCTAATCCTCAATGTGATAATATTTGGAGGTGGGGCCTTGGGAGGTATTTAGGTCTAGATGAGGTCATGAAGGTGAAGTCCCCAAGATGCGATTAGCATCCTTATAAGAAGATGAAGGGACTAAAGTTCTCTCTCTCTGCCATGTGAGTATACAGTGAGAAGGCAGCTGTCTATGAACTAGAAGAAGGGCCCTCACCTAGAAGTGACCATGATGGCACCTTGATCTCAGACTTCGAGCCTCCAGAACTATGAGAAATATTTTTGTTGTTGTTTAAGTCATCCAGTGTATGATATTTTGTTATACTAGCTCAAACTGACTCAGATAATGAAAATCATATTTTGTTATAAACGTTTCAGTTAGAAATATATCATGAACATTTTCTCATGCTAAAGATTTTACAACATTTTCACTGACTCAGTAATATTCCATCATATAATTATGCCATGATTTACTTAATTAGTTTGCTTTCTGGATTTCTTTGGTGTTACTTGCTATAATAAAATAATATTATAATGAAGAATTTGGGCCACAAGAAACACTTATCCAAGCCTACAGTTTGCCCTGAGCAAGGGACAGTCACTATGTGTGTATCCCAGCAAATTCTGGAGACACACATCAAGCTCCTGTAGCAGCCTGAGGTGGGCCTGTGAATTTTGCAGATTAGTACGTGGCTAATGACTGTTGAATAAGAAGTCAGGCTTCCCTCCTAGCAAGTGCTTCCCAGAAAATTCCAGAGTTTTTCCTTGATCCTCTCACTTGGAGGGCAGTGGGGGAAGGGGAGGAGAACACATTGCACTTTCTTCTTGTCTGACAACTCTCTTCAAAGACTGTCCCTCTCGACAAAACCTTATGTTTCACTTTAATAACCTGGGAATGGATGTGAACTCGGGGTTGCAATACCATTTGGGGGCAACTTTTTTGGAGCAGTTCTGGGTTGTCTGTGCTTTGTACCACTCTTCAGGATGTGTAGACACTGAGCATTCATTGTCCATAATTTTCGTGGTCTTCACTAAAACTCCCAGACAGGAAGTATTTCATTTAATATTCCATTACATGACCATTAAATCAGACTAGTAAATTATATTTATATCCTCTATATTTTTCTCCTCTACCAATTTATCCAGGACTGAAGGAGGCATATTAAAGTCTCTTACTACTGTTGTTTTTCTGTTCATATCTCCCTGTATTACTGCGGGCTTCATATACTATAGTTTGATGCCTTATTTTTTTCAGTGCAAAATGATTCATATTATATCTTTGTTGCATGTTATATATCAATGAAAATGAATATTTTCGTTTGATATAGTGATTTTGCCTTCTTATTTTGTGTATCTGTTTTTTTTTTCTGGTCTTTTTTTTTTGCTATATGAACTGTGTTTTATTTGATTTTTTCCCCTAGTACTTTGGAAGGCATGGATTTTGTCTTAAAATAACATCTATAACCCTATATTTTCTAATTACTAACATAGAGAATAAAATAATAAGTTAAGACTAACAGGGCGCTTCTACTTTTTCACATTTCTTTTTTAGTCCCTCCACCCCACACAGTTCCCAAGTTTGTGTTGGTATGATCTGGGGTTTTAAACCTTACTTAAAAAAACGATTATGTGTTAAGAATTATTTATGACATTTGTATTATTTTGTAACTGTACTTACAACAGTTACATTTAATTCATTTTATGTTTAAATGTCTTCAGTATTCATCATCAGCCTCTTTCGTACTTTTGCCTTCTTGAATTTTTTTGAAAACTTTTCTCTTTTGGCCTGAGTGGGTCATGAAATAAATTTTTCATTAAAGAAGGGTTTGCAGGTATTTTGAGTTTTTTCATAACTGAGAATGCCTTTTCAGTTGCCTTCACTCAGGAATGAAATTTGGCTTGTTGTGGAATTCTTGGCTTAAATTTTTCATCCTTAGGATTCTACAGATGTTCTATTCTTTTCTAAAATTTAATGTTATGGAGAATATGATGACAGCCTGATACTTTCTTCCTTTGTAGGTAACTTAATAAACATCCTGTTCATCCAGAGTTGATACTGGAAGGACTGTCTCTGCTTTGGGAGGGATGCCTGAAAGTGAGAGCCATTTTGGTTCCTTGTCTTCACCCTAGGCTCTCTTTTCCTTTTGAGCTGTTCCTAATCCCCATGATCAATTGCAGCCTCTGAGAGAGAGGGGGAATCCCTGCCCCTCCAGACCAAGTACACAAACCCTTCTCCTAAATCTCTGTATCCCAATCTAAGGTGAATCATTTAATAACAAGACTGTGCTAAATGATGGTAATTATATCACATAGAATAATAATTATCATGGTGGTAGTAGTTAATATTTATCGAGTGCTTACTGTGTGCCAGGTACTGTTTTAAGATCTTGTCATGCATTAACACATTAACTCCCTAACTTAGAGGAAATTGGAGAAAGTTGAGGTCCCAATCTTAGAGATGTTAGAGAGATCAACAGTTATCATAATGCTGTAAGAACACCCCTTGTCATTACATCTGCCTTAAAGATGTTATTGAGGATTTTTTGTTGTTATTACCATACTTCCTGTTGGTTCAGTTCAGGTGAGTTTATCTGATCTCATCATTTTCTTTTGGGTGTATTAGTCTAACTCTGTTCTGGAAGTGCCTCATTGTTTCTTCTGTCTACAAACCTAGCTACTACAGAGATGAAAACTATAGCAAATGGGAAAGAAAAATACAACAGGAAAACTTGAATGAATTAGAAAAAATGAATAGTTTTTAGAAAAGCTGAGAATTAGAGAAAAACAGAAGCCAGAGAAAAAAAGAAAAAAAAAAGAAAGAACCCTCAACCTCTGTCCTGGCCAAAAGGGTCATGACCACACATTGTCCTTGCATTAGGGTTTCCCTCATGGTGTCAGTTGCACAGCATCTGGAATTTGCGTTTTAGTTATCATTTATTATTTAAATCCTTCTTATTACAATACATATGTATATTAAAATAATTAAAACAAACAAAAAGAGCCAAAATTGATGTGTTTACCTCAAATCTTGCTGCTTTCTAGTTTATTCTCTATACAGTAGTTGGAGTAGTCTGAGGGAAAATGAACAGTAGAACATGGTGGGAGTGATGCTATGTGACTTCCAAGGTAAGGGCATAAAAGACATTGAAGCTTCTGCCTTGATCTTTTATATCACTTGTTCTGGGGGAAAACAGCCACCAGGTCATGAGGATACTCAAGCAGCCCCTGGAGAAGTCCAAGTGGAGAGGAACCAACTTGCCAGCATCAACTTGCCATGTAGCCATGAGTGCGTTCACTCCCAAGCAAGCCTCTGATTACTGCAGGCCCCATCAATATCTGACTGCAACCTCAGGAGAGATCCCCCCCCCCAAGTTTCTCCAGAATTCCTGACTTACTGAAACTGTGAGAGATAATACACGCTTGTTGTTTTAAGCCACTAAGTTTTGGAGTGATTTATTTATTACACAGCAATAGGTAATTAATACACAAGTCATCACAGGTAACGTTTTACTAAATATTTGCATGGCATAGACTGAGCCTCTATTCTTGTAGGCTTTGATTTTTGTTTCTTCACCACTCACTGACTATTAAGCCAAAGCCACATACTTAAAGTTTTAGTTATAGCCACACCTAACCTCAGTGTACCAATTTTTGTAAATAGATAACATAATGCTAGATACTGTAACATATAAATATCGACATCTCAGTGGATTAATACAGTAAAAGTGGTTTTTTTGTTTGTTTCATTGAAAGTCCAGTTAGGGCCGGCCTGGTGGCACACTGGAGAGTGTGCCGCTTGGGAGTGCAGCAGCCCTCCCGCCGAGGATTCGGATCCCATGTGGAGACCGGTTTCCGCTCACTGGCTGAGTGCGTTGCGGGCGCAACACCGAGGGTTGCGATCCTGTTACCGGTCAGTAAAAAAGACAAAAAGGAAAGAAAAAAAAA